GAGGAGGAGCAGAACTGATGTGACAGAAGATACCGAAGGATTTATTCACAACTTCGTGCTAGAGGAGCAGCACCAATCGAGCAGGAAATAAGGAAACGAATGCCAACTGTCCTGTTCACACTAAAAACAAACAGCCAGATGTAACCAGGTGGTTTGTGGTGTTGGCAAAGCTGTTGGCCTTACTTGGTTGGTTCTGCTAATGGTGATTAATGTAATTTAATAAAATAAAAAAATAAAAAAAACAACAACACTACAACAACCTGAAACTGCAGTTTAGAAATAAATAATTACATTAGGTCTGTAAAAACACTAAAATTTTTAGAATTATCTGCATTTGGAAGTTTCCACCTACTAAGCTAAAAGCAACTTTTCGGAATTGAGATTGACATATTTTTTTTAATAAAGTAAAGTTTTAGTTACTTAATAAATTAAGAATGCTGTTTAAAAGAGGAAATTCCTGAAGTCATCTTTAAAGCTACAAGACGAAAAATGCCAGTGAAGGAACTTTTTAAACTCAAAGACATCTTCAAGGTGCCCTGTGGAGGTTTTCCCTTTCTTTTTTCCACCACTAGGGGTGCTGTTGAGCTAAGAAAGAACTCTTTTCCTGGATTTCTGATTCAGGTGTTCAAGATATTCAGCTTTTGAATGTTTATTGTGAAACAAACAAGCTGACCTCGGGATCTCCACAGGGCATCTTCAGGGACACTACAGCAAACAGAGAGGAGAAATTCAGAGTCTGGTTGTTGTCAATGTGTTTGAATGTGTTAAAGTGTTAAGTTTAACCTTAACCTGGTCAGCAGGGGTGGGGATGAAACATGAAACTTAACCTCCCCTCCTTCTGGATGACTAAACCTTAATTTGAAACAAGTCAGATGTGATTTTTTTTTTTTAAGATCCCATCACCAGTGTCGAACATACAAGTGAACACAGTTTTATTTTCCTCCCCTTAGCTTTTCAAAATAAAACTGTTTGATTTAAGTGAAGGAGTTATTTTAGCAGCAAGCTGAACGACCAATAACCATGATGGGCCGTCAGGTGTCCTCAAAGGATAACCGTTTATCTTCCAACCTCCTCTCTTTTAGTATCATCTGGACCACTGGAAGCACCAGGGAGTTCAGAGGGTTCTGGGCTTTTAACACCACAGAGAGAGCAGTACAAAGCATCAAAGCTCTAGTAAAGGCCAAGTATGTGGACACGTGAGTAGACCTGTAGAGGAACTCCAAAGGCTTTCCATGAGCCTGCGTTTCCAGGTGTTTAGGTGTCCAGCTGTACTGGATTATTGTTGTTTCATTTAATTTAGTGTTGCGCTTCCAGAAGACTCAACTCTGTTAATAATGAAATGAAAATTGCTGAATATTTTACTAAGTTGAGTAGAGAGCGGTACTGACACTGATGGAGATTCTCATCATGTAGAACCGCTGAATGTGACACCACTGAGGTCTGGCATTGCACAGTCCATGTTTAGTGCTGTAAAACAAAGCATGACAGTCAAGGTCTGCATGTCTGGGTCTTTTTTCCATTAGACTTCTATAATCTGACTTCACAGGAGTCACCCCCTGCTGGACATTAGAAGTAACACATGTCTGCCCAAAAGGCTATGTGAATCTTTTAATATACATTATATGTCCAAGTCAATTCACCCAGAGCCTGTGCAAGGATCATTTCTTACTGTCTGTCAACAGTAGCTCTTTGTTTGTATAGAGGCTTTATCACTTTGTATCCAGAAGCCTTAATGTCCACATACATTTGTCCATGAAGTGTATTTGCTTTGATTAATTTCACCTCCCTCTTAGTTTAAAGCTCACCGCTGCTTCCAGTAAGAGTTACCAGATAGGTTAAAGGTACTTTTTTGTTGTAAGTCTTTGTTTAAAAAGAGTTTAAAACCTAAACAAAAATCAAAAACACCAACAGAATGAGAAGAAATTACTATGTTGTTACGTATGGACCTGCAGAGATATCAACTCAAGTTTGACTTCTATACAACCAGAAGCCTTTTTCCCCCAACCCAAGAAGCTGCCCCCTGCTGGTCACTAGAAAGAATGTAGGCTTTATAATGTTAGAAAAAAAGGATGCTACACTGGCCGACTGCACTTTTTGGTTCAAAGTATTGCACAACAGTACAGCTTGTCCCCATTAAAACCTCAGCTGATATCTCTGTAGCTCAGCACACAGACGCGTTGGACATAATGTCAGAACTGCTGTTTCTTTACAGTCTGTTGATACCTTGAGTTAACTTTAAACTCATTTTAAAAGCTGGAATCTGCAGTTTGAGTACCTTTAAGATGGGAGGCTGAATTACATGTGAATGGTCCTTTAAAGAGTTTACAGGACTGCTATGAATGATTCTGTGTATAGTTTCTTAGCACTGACTGCAATCAGCCAGACCTAAAGAGATTTAAATACAGCGTAAAGTCATGAGTGTTTACAGTTATATTATAAAACATACACACAGTAAAAGGATGAGACCCACACATAATATTTACATATATAAACAAAGAAGTCCATCACAGAGCTGCGAGGTCTGCAGCCCGCACACTTAATGGCTAATATTCACTGTACATGTGTCCGACGGCTCCGCGGCCTTCGCTAGCACGAGCGAGTGTGAGCTGAGGCCTCCGACTCGCCACGCGGCCTTGTTTTTTGTTCGGTTACCGACAGCGAGCTGGGGGCGGCTGGCGCTGCCGTCCGCTGAGAACCGAGCATCACTACGGCTGTTTTGTTCTGGTTTAAACCTTTGACACGCAAACACACTCACACTGAGAAATAACAGTCACCCAACCCCACAAACCTGTCCCCAACAGAAGAGATGTGCAGCAAAGGTAAGCACCCTCACGACAAAATACCATGCACCACGTCTTAAGTTCTATGTGTCAAATATCAAACTGCTGTGAGGAGGGTCAGAGACACTGTTCTAACTCTACAAAAGAAGAAGAATTATAAGAATAATGCACACAATTGACCCTTGTGGTGATGATGGTGGGAGGGGCCTCAGGTTGGTTTTCTGGATATTTACTGGGAATTTCAGCTCCCTTGGCGTCACCCTCTCTGTCCAAAGTTTGCATCCTGTCCGGGATTTGTTTCCATCGGGTCTTCTTTGAAGTTTTCACAGTGCTCCATTACTTTTCTGCAAGAAGACAACAGTCACAGGTTGGAATTTTGACCAAGACGTTCTTAATTCATAAAAAATATATATTTATCTAATTTATTTCCATGGAAATCATCTGTGAAGCCACATCAGTGTTAGTTTCTTAGCTGTGCTGGGAGCCGGTCGTGACTGGTGGGCTTTATTTCTCAGCTAGCGTTAGTTTGACTCAGGAAAGATCCCATTTTTAAAAAAATTGAATTATCATCGATTAAGATAATGGCATTAAAGAACCTAACAGCAGAAAAATGTCACCTGATACATGTTTTAAAAAAAGTGCTTGTGATATCTGACCTGCTGTGTTTGTAAGAAAAAAACACACAGATATGTGATTCAGCCTCAAACACTCGGTGATCAGCCCCAACAACTCTTATCATCCTCTCTGCTGAATGCAACAGAGGGCTTCTAAAAGCAGAAAAATGAGGCTTTCTGGCTGCTGCCCAGCCTCTGACTCAGTTACCACATCATCATACAGTTTGTTCAAAGAGCCGTCAGTCTCACCGGGCCATGTCCTTTGTGTCCGGATGTGAACTCTCCAGCTCCAGAACTTTCTCCAGAAGAGTCATTCCTCCTTCTTTTATCAGCAGAGGACAATACTTGCTTGCTGCAGAGTAGGAAAAATGCAAATGGAACAAGTGTGAGATTCCCAGAGAGTGGACTGGATAGAACATTAGGCCCAAAAGAAGCAGGTAAAGAAAATAAAAAAAAACAAAACAAAACAAACAAAGCAGTTTGAAGACAAGTAAACAAGTAAAGATAATAGCCATGTCCAAATTCATAGGCTGCATCCTCCTGAGGACCCGGCCTTCGCGGTCTACGTGGGCCGGGTCCTCAGAAGGTCGGGTAGGCCGGAAGTGAGCGGCGGTGAAATGGGACAGTCTAGCCTTCTGATTTGCGTCATTGCTGTGTCGGTGGAGTTTAATAAATTCGGTCGTCTGCTCCTTGCCATCTAAAATATAACAGGACACTGATGTAAATTCTTGATCATCTCACACTTCTGTTTAATCAGTTTTCCGTTTGATGTTTATTCAGCTGTGTGAAAACTATAACTTTAATCTCAACCAAACCGATTTACTTAGGAGGATGCAGCCCATGAATTTGGACACCCCCAATGTTTCACATATACTAAGTTATTCTGGTCTGTTAGGCAAGTCAGGTGACATATAAACCCTTCAGGACAGCTTTAGGGGTAAACGACACACGCTGTGCTCTCAAAGCCTCTTGATACTCACGGTAAACTGACACCAGGTTGTAAAGAGCCCATGTGGCCCAGTGCTGACTGACAGGGGAGATGCTCTGAGGCAGCAGCCGCAGGATGGGCTCGAATGACCTGAGAGAGGACCGTCGCTTTGTTAATATATTCAGACAGGACAAGCCACCAGCGGCTGTGGAAGTTCACTATAGAGGGGAAACGGTAATCGATCACCTGTAGTTGATGTTGCGCCGCGAGCTGACGTCCCAGCTCTGGATGGCTTCCCACATCTTCTCCATCACCATGTCTCTCCGCGGCTCCTCCATCTTCCAAACCTCAGGCCCGTCAAACATGATGTGCGACAGCACTCCACAGGCGTTGTACGACACCTCAATCCCATCGGCCTTACTGTCCAGCAGGTTACTGCAAAGAAAACAGACGGAGAAGACGACATGAAGAGGCTGAGAGGAGAGACTGTGCAGACCAATAGTAACCACCAACAGAGTCTCAGTCCAGGTGTTTCTGCCTCTGGTACCTGAACACTGTGATAAACTGTGGGGTGAGCAGCTGTGGCCTCAGAGCTTTGACCTCAGCCACGTTTCCCAGAAGACCCAACATGTTGCGATGAAGCTCCTGCTTGTCTGGAAACTCCTGCAGAGAGAAATCATACAACATGAGATGAAAACATTTAGAAATGATGGCACAGCGAAATTCTCCATGAGGATTGCAGAACTGTATAGTCAAGTGATAATTGTATTCCCTCAAATCCACTCAGTGTTTACAGGTGAAGACAAATTTCAGACCAAACTTACAGCAGAAAAAAACCCATAAAAAGCAAAAATGTAACTACTCTTTGAAAGGAACATAACAGCAAAATAAAGGTACTCACTAAGTTTAAGGATAATGGTGAACTTTTTTAAAAAACTGTTTCCTCTGACACAAAATTAATTTTGACAGAAATATTTATTTTAGTATTTTTCAATTATTACACTTATCATCACCTTAACAGTGTGTGGACACGAGCTGTACACGAGTAGTGAAAGAAGGGCTGCACTTTATTTTATACTCCTAACAGCTCCTTTCATGGTTTTGGCTTTAATAACAAAAGCGATCATTGTTGTCGAGTCATTTCTTGTGAATCGAGCAACTTTCTATATCAGTTCAGTTTCTATATCAGTTCTGAAAAATAACGAGCAGCCTGGACTCACCTGCAGACACTCCAGGAACAGGCTCATGCCCCGACAGTTCAGGAACATCTGACAGTTGTCGGGCGTCTCATCTGTGATGTTCCACAGGGCGCTCCAGGAAAACTCCATCACCTGGTCACACTGAGACACACACGCGAACACAAAACATCTGCTTTAAACAACAAAACAAAATAAAGTATAACTGAATAAAGGTTCGTTTTCATTTAAACGATGATGATGAGGATCTGTTTCCTGCTTCCAGCAGGTGGAAGTGTTATGTTTTCAGTGCTGCTTGTTTGCCTGCTTCTCACCAAGAATAAATAAAAACAACAAAAACTGGACTTCAGGAGATTTGGTGGAGCACAGACCAAAGAAGAGACGCTGTAACACTGTAACACCTTCTCAGTCATTATAAATGTCTGGGAATTTTCAAAATTAAATACCTCCACATTTGTTTCACTACGAGGGAGACTATACTACAGTCAAGGCATAAAATGCTACAAACACTCTGGCATATAAATTTAGTCACATGATTACTGAGCTGAGTTTAGTAATCACGGTTTTAATAGTAAAGCAGGGCTCATTTTGATGTATACAGTAATATTAAAAATAAGCATGAATATTTCTCTAAAATGAGCCAGTGCCACTAGCCTGTAGGCCGTGAAAAGATGATTAAACTTTGGTGTCAATCCGGGGCGCTCTTAGTGAGAGAGAGTGCATCGGCCTTTGTGAGCACTCTTTCAGTTTCTAAAAGCCACGTATGAATCTGTAAAGCACTTAAACTCACCATTCTGTCCTGTAACTTCTTCTGAATTAAATTCAGCATTGTCTGAGAATGAGAAAAGAGTCAGGAATGAATTTATCACCTGTATAATCACCAGCTGATTTCAGTCAAAATGCAACACAAACATGAGAAAATGCAGCTTTGCTACAGAGAAACAATCCTGAATCCACTTTGAAGGTAGGACACCAGCAACAGACTCCTGAAGGCTACCTTTACTATAACGTTTGCTTTAAGTTATTGTAAATCAGACTAAATAATGCTGCTACAGCCATATATCACACCATAGATGTAGTACAATTTTAGCATGTTAGCCTATGGTGAGTGCGATGGCATGTTGGTATAAAATTCAAATTACAGAGCACGTTCTTTTTCCAAACATGGCTAAAGCGCTGAGATTGGATCTGAAATATCTGCACTGCTGTCATCACATGCTCTCAGTGTGTTCACACAGCTTTCCTCTGGGTGCTCTGGTTTCCTGCCACACCAAAAATAAGCTTGTTAGATAATAGGAGCTCCTGCTGCTGACCTTGACTGGCAGTAAGTAACAGGCCTGAGATCTGAAGCGGATCACCAACTTTTACACTAAGGAGGAAATTTATCCAAGACTTTCCAAGGTTTCTTTACCCTCACAAATCCCATCTTGCCCACAGCCTCCTTATGGTGGTTGTCCACCTGGCAGACCAAAGCATTGCAGAGGTGCACGGCGATTCTCTGGATGGACTCATCCTGCCTGGCCGGCTCCAGGATCTTCAGCAGCAGCTGGTTGACGCGGCTGTACTGGAACTCAAGCTCCTCTGGGATGCTGAAGTTGCACAGAGTCAGGCAGCAGTTCCTCTGGACCTGGTGAGGAAACAGGAACTCACAGATTCACAAATCAAATGTAATCGAAGAGCGTGATTCTAAATATATGATGGCCTTTGTTAATAATCAACTGAAGGCTAAGATGCATAGTCATGGTTTCCTATCAAATAGTGGACCTGAACAATTTCTGAGCCCTTTCCAATCTCCCAATCCTGCCCCCAGTTCTGAAGACGCCGTTTTATACATACTTCAGTCCTACAATAAAAACACAACTGAAGGTTTTAGAGCTTCACATAACACAAAATCTGCCCTTCTGCTTTAATTCTGTTAGTGTGGCCACTGACCATAACACTCCGCTCAGCTTATTTATGCAGCAGCTGGTTCATGGGAATGATATCAGACTTACAGTGACCTCCTGGTAGTGCTCCATCCCATTCAGCACCACCTGAATGACCTCCCGCCGTAACCGCACACTCTGATCGCTGCGGTACTCGGTGTTGGTCAGGTAGAAAAGAGCGGCGCTGCCCGTCACCTGGATGCTCTTATCGTATTTATGGCACTTCAGTGCTGCGATGACAAGCTGCAAACAAGGAAACAAAGGTTTCAGGGGAGGAATGAGAAGCAGTCAGGAGAGATGATCACAGGAAGTCACTGAAGGAGAACTTTAAGTCCTACCTGCAGAGCGCGGAGCAGCTGGCTGCAATGTTGTATCCTGGCAATGTCAAACAGCTGATTGATGGCTCTGTGGGCGAGCTCAGGGCGAAACTCTGTGTAAGCCTCGATGGCGTTCAGGACCTGGTCTTCATTCTTTGATCCAGTCACCTGAAAAAGTCCAGAAACACAAAGATTTAACCAACAAAACAAACCTTGAATAAAGCGCTATAGATGGTATTAATCTGCAGTTCAGCCTGGTGTGATCAGCTGAGAGAAACCCAGGTTCAGGTACCTTATAGGCAGGGATGTGCGTCACATTACAGAGGGTGGTGTCGTACAAGCCCAGAAACTGCAGGGGCCTCTTCAGCTCCTGGAAAGGGTAGATGCTGCTCTTGCACGGTTCAGTGCTAATGGAGAGAAAAACGCAGCTTGTTAAGAACCTCATTTATCATCTGAGGGTCAATAAAGGGAGATTCCAGCCTCAGCTCATCGTCACACACCTCGGACGTCCCATCGCTTCTTCAAAGTGTGGAACTGTGCAGTTGTCTAGCATGATGTGACCCGAGATGTCCAGGGACATCAGGTGTACCAGACGCTGGACGATGGCCGTCAGGATTTTCTTGGTCATCTTAAACTTTGAGATCCGCCTGCTCTCCTGGGAGATGTCGAGGTGCCTGAAGGAGGAGGGAGTGTCATCAGTGACTATTTTTCAAGTGATCAGTGGGCATACAAGGGGAGCTACACATGTATTAAAATAACATAATGCAAACTGCTCTCAGTTTATCACAGTTTTTTTCCTTCTCTTGGCTCAGGATGATGTCACCAAGGAGGGATTTCCCAAATATGGTCTTCTAAGGTCCACCCACTTGTGTTTACGAGGGCCAGCTAATCAGAAGAGGGTTGGAATAAATGGGGAGGAGCAGTAGGTTGAAGTAGGTTGATGGCACTTGAAAAATAAAACCAGGAGCTGAAACTGAGCAGAAGAGTTACTTTTAACTTGGACTTCAGTAAAATATATAAAAATATTCTAATAAACGCCCTGCGACAGACTGGCGACCTGTCCAGGGTGTACCCCGCCTCTCACCCTATGACAGCTGGGATAGGCTCCAGCGCTCCCCGCGACCCTGGAAAGGATAAGCGGAAGCGAATGGATGGATGGATGGATTCTAATAAACGTCAACCTAAAGTTTAACAGCAAAATATGTATGAGGACACTATAAATGCATTACTTTGCCTACTGGCCACAGATTTATGTGCATTTGCTCCCCAATCTATAAACAAGCTTAATGACATTTAACAATCCAGTACCACCAAATTTTGTGCTTCTTCTTGATCACTGAATATAAAATCTTTACCAAGTCTTTCATTGAAGATTGAGCCATTTAGCCAAAATGACAGGGAGTCTGTTTTGACAAATAAAGATGACCCTTTAAAATCTAAGAACACTGCATCAGGTGTGAAGCACAGCAGTGGTAGCATGATGCTGCTTGGCTGTTTTGCTGCCAGTGGTACTGCTACAATGAAAACCGACTACCTCCAAATTCTTCAACTTTAAATCAGCATCTAGATCAGTGGTTCTTAACCTGGGTTCGATCGAACCCTAGGGGTTCGGTGAGTCGGTCTCAGGGGTTCGGCAGAGCCTCCGCCATGACATGCATGGCTCATTTTGTGCACCAGTAAAAAAAATCACATTTTATTTTTCACTAAAGAGGGGTTCAGTGAATGCACATATGAAACTGGTGGGGTTCGGTACCTCCAACAAGGTTAAGAACCACTGATCTAGATGGCTTAAACTTAGACATAGTTTGATGTTCCAACAGGACAGTGATCCCAAACACATCAAAACTGGTCTTAGAATAAATAAAGCAGGCAAACATTAAGCTTCTGGAATACTCTTCCTGCTTAAATGCCAGAGTTCGTGCCAGGACACCAAACAATTTAAATGTGATCAAATATCCAGCCAGAATTATCAGGGAAGCTTGTTGATGGCTACCAAAGCATCTGGTTGCTAAGGACTCCTCAGCAATTTGCTAAGGGACATTTAACCAAATATTAGTGGAGATATATGCTTTTAACCCTGTGTGGATTAGAGAAAATCCAAAATAAAATCAAACTTGTGCACTCAGTTCTTGTTTGTTTGTTTGGCTTTTTTACAGCCCTTACAGATGTATGCGGTACAGTCATTTCACAGAACAGTTTAAAGATATCATTAAAAGCCCAAGATTCCCCATCATTCATGCCCATGATTAGTTTATGGAAACTTCAGTGTCTGATGAAAGGTCTCCTTTTACCTACAAGAGATGACCACAGCAGATAGATCTAAATTTTTGATTTGGCACTGATTTTCACACTGGTTGCCCTCTTTGACCCTTTTGTGGATTTAGGTCTCCTCCCAGTCTTGGACCAGACATTAATACTTTTTATTTGATGTGTTAAATGAACGTTAACCCCTTATCCCCCATCCCACAGAGCTTACCTGAGATTAACGAGCTCCAAAACTGTGCTGATCAACTCCTCGGATAGATCCACGTTGTAGAGAACAAGAGAGGCCAGTCTGTCCCTCCACTGGGTGAGAAAAGATGTCCCCAGTAACTGTACATTGGACAGATCTAGCGAGGTGAGCGACTTCAGGGGTTTGAGCAGTGTCTCGGGGTCCAGCTCCTTCGGCATGCCACCCAGGTTGAGCAGCCTGAGCCGGTTGAATCCCTGGAAGTTAAAGTCTGTTTCTAAAGCATGCCGAGAGGCGGGGCTCTCCTCCTCGTCCTCGTCTGTGTCCTCGTTGCAGGCGAGCGGGGCGCCGCACTTCCTGTAGAAGATGTTGCTGCAGCCGAAGAGACAGAGAGACACCAAAGTGTCGCGGAAGCAGGACAGCGCTTTCAAGCTGCGAGACGACAGGTTGTTGCAGTAGGTGAGGTGGAGCTCGATCAGGTCCTGCACACAAAGACAGTGATTAGTGAGGCCACGAGAAGAAACCACTGACATTAACTTCTCACTGTCTCTATATCATGAAATTCCTGTCAGACGGGGTTTTCCCAGGCTTGAGACATGAATTCTCTCCTTCCTCCAGTTTTGTGCATTTACTTCAAATAATTTGCATTTTTGATGATAACAAGGTCAGAAAAATACATCAGATTTCTGTTAAACAAGGCATTCATTCACTTGACTTTACACTCTAATCGTGCTTACTGCCATGCAAAGCCTTGTTCTGAGCTCATGTTTCCTTCACACAGGCTTTATTTGTGCGGGCCACCAGTGAGGACAATGCCAGTCACACTTAATTTACTAGCAAACATTTCCCTCAGTCCTATTTTGAAAATTCAGTTGCTGTCAGCTCTAGCACTTCGTGTCTCCACTGTCTGGCTCTCTGGGAACGTTGCTGCTGCGCCAGTCCTCGATATAAATCCTCAGACAGGATGTCATCCAGCAGTCAGATAGACTCCAGCTCCTCCATCTTGGACTGCAGCTGCTAGTGCTCGCTCTGCAGCCTCGGTTTGTTTAGATTAGAAGCACATAGACCACTTCTCCACCTGCTGCAGGTTCTCGTTAAAGTGACCCACCACCAACTGCAGTCAAGAAGGTAAAGCTGGAGTCTGTCCAACAACAGAATGAGAGACATGGGGAATCCTGATTTTATAGCTGCATGTTCGGCATTTTTCCCCCAGCTTTTTAGTTTATTAATAACCTGTGGATGAAACCTCATGGCAGATCTGAAACACAGGGACACTGTGTGACCACACAATAGCAACCCACCAATGACAAGTTAGCCCCACCCTAAATCCTCCCTGCTTTGATGCCCTGTTTGACTCTACTTTTCTGAATTATGGTCCCCATTAGAGTCTGAGATAATAAACTCATCAGGAAAGTCTCTACTGAGGTCAAAGGTCAAGTAACAAACAGATTTATACACAATCAGACTTGTTTTTAAAACCAGGGCAGTTCACATCAGAGGACACAACACTACAGTGGGAGCAGAAAATAGTTTTTGCTGTTGTTAGTCTTTTATATGTAGTGTTATCACTATTTAGGACAAACAGTCCAGTTTCCACACACAGTAACACTGTGATCCAGGAGGGGAACGAGCAGCCACGTCTCCATGGGACACATGAAACTCTGCTCACTGTGCTCCCTCAAGCTCGTCTATCTCAGTGCCCAAGGTTGTGTTTAATGTTTTGCTGCTGTAACGCAGGAATTTATGGTTAAATACAGTTTATATAACTTCATCTTATCTAAATTATACAGATGTTTTCTGCTTAGAGACATTTTAGGAGAATTCGCTTGTCCCTTATAATTTTATTTAAATCTGATTTGTTCAGTTTTGTGAGAAACACACTGCAGGTGTAATACCTGAGACTCCCCATCAACGTTTAGAACTGAAGAAACCTTTTGGATCACAGGCGAGAACCCACAGGAAGCTCAGCTGCCTTAAACTCAAGCATTTTAAACTATCCAGTGTTTAAATGTTAACACTCCATCGCATGTTCTGTCAGCTACACCATCCACCTTCAATGCAGTTTTTCTTCCATGATTTCTGATACTTTATGGATAATTTATCTCAAAACAGAGATTTTATTTTTGTACCAACCAGAAATTAGAAGCAGCACTGGCTGAAAAAAACCAAATTTTCTTAATTTTTGGTGGGTTTTTAATGGTCATATCTCCTGCCAAAAGCTTAAACGGGTGTGGTTACTCTTACCACTTTGTTGCCTCCCACCTGTTTTTTGATGGCTTCCAGGTCTCTGTCACGGACAAAGTCCTCTCTGAGCTGTACCCGGGTCAGTCTGGTGCTCCGGGGGTCTGAGAAGAGCTGGAAGAAGCTCTCCTCTGGTTCAAAGTTACTGTCTGTGTGGACCAGTTCCATGTATCTGTAAAAAAACAACAACAACAAAAAACAATTAAAAGTCCATGGCTACTGACATGACAGGCTGAACCCTTTAGACTGTTACTCACGTGTTGACCAGCTTGTCGCAGATCTCGCTGGGGAGGAAGATGTCTGAGCGCAGGCACAGCTTGTTCCTGAAGCCCTGGTAGCACATCGTCTTCTTCAGGTTCCTCAGGCAGAAGACAGTTGCCAGAGTCATGAGGCTGTCGGGGTTGTCTCCTGCTTTGGCTGCCATGTTCGCCTCTTCTTCTCTGGCTCAGATCAAGACGGGGCAGTGCAGGGGACCTGTGAGGATAAAACAAGTGAAGCATTTCTAATGAAACAGAAGAAAAAAATAGTTCCCTTTTCTAAGCCTTTAAACCAGAGAACATGTTTGATTTTCCCAACTAAACAGCAACCAAATTTACTCAGTAACAGCTGTAAGAGACAGATCAGTTTAGCCTCGGCTCGCTCGTGCAAATCAATTTACTAGAGATTTCTGGGCTATTTCAACCCATAAATATTCAGGCAATAGAAGAACTACTTCCTTCCAAAGTATGACCATAATGATCCCACCACATACACTTTACTCTGACAATTAGGTATATTTAGCAAGTAAATTTAGCATTTTTAAGTTACGGTCAGGGTTTTTACACTGCTCAGAATGGACCTTTGAGGAATGACATTGCTCAGAAAAACAACTGGCCCACAAGTAATTTAGACAATGAATGTGGGGGATCACATGAGCATTTTCCTGTTAATTTTGGCCATTTGATTAAGAAAAGTGGTGACTTTCTTTAGGCGGAAGGCCAAAGCGCTTCTATGCGTTAGCAACCTTGGTACTATATTTGATATATCAGGTAACTATACAGTTTTACAGATCATAACATTGTTTATTCTAGAAGCCCTATGTTATTTTTAGAGCAATTCAAGTGGTGTGCTTACAACCTTTTAAGCCTTCCTCTTGTGGTGAAATGATTATCATCAGAGCTATGTGCATATGCAAAAACATTTCTTATTTCTTATCAAATAGACAAGCAGACTGCACCTGCAGACCTCGACCAACGCTGAAAGTTAACTCCACTAAAAACTCAGGCCCTGTCCCATTCATGACACAATAATTATTTAAACACTTATAATCATATTTTTATAGATGCTGACACTTTTGTTTTGAGTTTAATTGGTGAAAATCACAATAAACAGAAGTACTTTGATCGTGAAACTGCTATTATCCCCCCCAAACACACACAAATTTTCTGTACTTTTTACATTAACATCACGATTTTTTTTTACCACCATAACCTCACATTGTGACTGCTCTGATCACTGCTATTACAAATGTTAAAATAAGATAATACCTGCCACTTAGCATTAACTGCTGCCTGAAACTGAATATATAACCAAATTATTTTTTGTAAACTCTACTGAAGGTTCAAACACTTAATTCCGCAAGTTGATAAAATACTTTAAATGCAAAACTTTTCTATGGCATAAGTTGGGAGCTGAAGTGAGCTGTCTGCCTACAAACTCGCTGAGTTTTTGTCCTGTCAGTTAAATGAACATGTTTCTGTTAAAGGGCCTAACTGCTGTCACACAGCGTGTTTACACTTATTTGCATCTTTGCATACATGTTAGCATTTTACTTCTAACTGCTCTGTACCTCCTAACATTTTCTACAAACACATTTTTCGTGTTAATACCAAAAGGTGATCACTGCTCCTGTTGGACTGAAGCCAGAGGTCCAGCTTTCACTGTTTTTTTTCTGTTGAGTTAGCCAAACACTCACACAGCAATGAATTCTGACTGTTACCAAGTTAGCAAGCTAGCTTAGCTAGCTACCTACACTGTAAAATAATTCCCTTTAACATCATTAACGCTGCGAGAAAACACACAACAGTCATGAGTGAGTCTCAACAGGCTCAAACACCGTGGATGAGCACTTGTTATTCAGAGTTTAGTTATAACTCGGGTCAGCAGTGGATTTCAGCGTCTGCATTAGCTCAAAGCTAACGATGACTTTCCCCCTGTGCTATGACGCTAGCAGACTTAGCCGGAGGAGCTAGCGCAGAGCTGTGCGTGTGTGAAGCCGGGATCCGAGCGCAGGGCAGCGGCATCTGAGTGCCAGGTTCCCCCGCTGGGGTCCTACCTTAGCTCTCGCCAAGGCTTCGCGTTCCGGTTGTAGCGACAAACTGATAATTATCAGCAGCCTTCACTCATCTGATTTTCGATTTCGCCCGATGTCAACAAACAGGCTCCGCCTCCTGCTACTTCTACAACTCTTCTTCTTCGTCGTCTTTTTCTTCTCCGAGGTCGGTGGCATCCAGCAGCCAGGTGTACTTCCGCCAGTGGAGTGAGGCTGATTCCAAATCTGCAGAAATACTCCTATAAATATGGATATCCAACAAAGTAATACATTAAACAATACCAATAACGGTTCATTATTAACCTATAAAGTTTACGTAAATCGCCACAAATAAAAATATGTTTATAGTCACACATACTATTTGACGTGAACACCCATTTAAATTCTGTTAAACTCAAGATCGTTCGCAGATTAGTCCTTTATTTTCTTGCCTTTCAGCAGCCATCTTGGTCATCCCAGCAGTTCTTTTGAGTAATGGATCAAAAATCAAAATTAGACTCACCAAGATATTAAAAACATACAGGAAAAGGTAAATGTATCTATATTCCCTTGTATAGAGGACGAAATCTGATGAATTTAAAAAAACAAAAAACAAAACAAAACAAAACCTTGTTTTAAATTTTATTTGTCATTTCCACAAAAATTAGAAAAACTGACTTACCTTTGTATGTGGAAGACCTAAACTGCCACGTGTTTAAAAAACAAAAATCAGAACTATGAACAAATGCTATTAAATAGGGAAAAAAATGAAAAAAGAGAGAAAGTACAGGTATTACTCAGTTAAATAATTAATTTCCCTTCCTTCCAACAGGAAAATTAAAAACAAGACTGAGACTGTGCAAAAGGATGGCGCAAAGGTTTTGGGTAATTAGAGGATGCTGTATTGCAATTATATAATAATAAGAACACTACAAAAAAGCTTCTTCTTTAAAAATAAATAAATAAATAAAAGCAGGAACCATGGTAAAACATTGAGTATTAATGTAAACATGACACGATACTTGAATTTCCTGTTTACGTCTATCTTATTTTTTAAAATTATTTCCTGTTTACTTGTTTGGTGAGATTAGTGGTGCCAGCCTGAGTGACTTTCATCGTCTGTATTAAATCTGTATGTTTTACATAATAATAAAATGAATAAATATTACTGATTGCATGACAAACTCCTCTAACTGTCCATTGGAAAGGATAATCATTTCAGACATTCAGCATGCTTAATAGTTCAGAATCAGACTGTCGTTTTTTACAATAGTCTGTTGTTTATTATTCACAAAAAATACAAAATGTTTTCACCATGATTCATGGAGACAGTGTAGGATTATTTTTGATTTGTTTCCTGATGTATGTGATGTATGTTTTGTGTCTGTAAAGCAAATTCCTGCAATCAACTACCTACATCTTATCTCTCTCTCACTGCGCTGCAAAAACAGAAAGATCAAACAGTCATATTACAAATGGTGTCACATATTTGTGAATCCATAACTACGTGTATTCAGGCAGCTTGGCATGCAGAGACCCTGCAGCTGTTGAGGGGGGGACTGTCAGCGGGAGTGTATTTATGTCAGATCTATGCCAACATTTGCGAGTTACAAAGAAAGGTTTGGGCAGTAATTAACTGTCCTTTAATTTATTAATTAAAAGCTCAACTCGGAGCTCAAAAGCTTTACTCAGAATGTATTCTCTGGAGTAAATCTTCTGGAATTCTTCCGTTTAAAAATGTATTACTAACTGGCTGCAGGAGGCAGCATTGCAGCCGACAGTGCATCGCCTGTCGGATTTCCTTGGTAAAAGAAGAAGAGAAGTAGGAAGACTTCCCTGTGGCCAATAATTCATTCCTCTTTGGAAACAGTTAAAGGAAAGCACCGTCTCCTGCCTCGACATGTCTACAGCGTACAAAAACAGGTGAGCGGCATCCAAATCTCTGCCCTCGTGAGGGATGTAGGGCGCGCGCACATACTGAAGCTGTTTATTTCAGCAGCTAGCCTCCAAAGCGTAGAATTAGCATTAGCAGCAGCAGCCCCGCTGACCAGACACGAGCCCAGTTACAGCCGCTGGAACACGCGCACCGTGAACGCTAATATGGGTTTTTCAGCTAAAAAAAAAAAGGGTCACCGTTAGTATCGCAGATGGAAAGCGCGCAGGGTGCTTTGTAAACTCAAGTATTCAGGTGTTATGCTACCTCCGTGTTAGCACATCAGGTGACACAACTTCCTCCACCCCCAAAAGGCTAACAATTAGCCACCGTCCGGCTAACGGTATGTGCTGACTTTGTGTTTGTGTCGCCGAAAGATTGACAATCAGCTGTTCACACATAAACCCTAGACCTGAACTGAAATTAAAACACACGTGCTTACTACAAACGAACCAGGCCCTCTGACCTGATAACTGCTCGACAAAAAGACCTTATTAATGCCTTTTTTATTTTTTCTCTTTTGCTTTTTCTTCATTGAGCAAATCTTTTTCGTCAACAGTACATATTTTAGGGAAGCTGACAATATTACCATGTCTTTGCTGTCAATGTAATAATCAAATGTCAGAATAAATAGAGCCAAGTAAAAGAGTCGAAAACTATGTAAACACAAGCTGAAAATTTGACAGATAGAGGAAGGACGGTTACACAAATGGCAGATTATTATAATAGGAAAAGCAGGGTGTTTTCTGTTTAAAGTTTCCTTTAGATTTAAGGGAAAGGGGCCAATGTGGCGAATGTAGTAGGAAAAATAGTTACTGAGAAAACCCCCAAATTTGTTAGAAGAAAATAATCAATTTTGGAGGGACAAATGGGAACATTTGACCTGGTGGTGGTCAGAGGGCCC